TAAACTTTCCAATGAATTTACATACATGTAGTTCAAATTTGTCAGGTTAACTTTTTAGCCAGCTGCCTATAACTTTCAAGCTGAGAAAACTCCAATTACACAACACGTCATAAGACATCTGCTCTGAATATTAAATCACCTGACTGATGATGGTTTGAATCTTGATTAGTACTATTCTGATTTAGCCTGAGAACAGATTCTGGCTACAACATATGCACATATCTACTATCTATCGGGTAGCCTTAGCCTAGTTAACAAGAGAAATTTACTTGCCTGAACTGCAAACAAATTCAGTTTATTAATCAGCTTTCCTGCAGCATGGTAGGGGACGGTCTACCCCAAAAATCTAAACATCTGATGATAAAGTTTTACTCAACTGCATATTCCTACTGTATTATTCTCTGATCACATTATAACAACAGATCAAGCTACGTTGATTACCTTCAGGTGCAGGAAAGGGTGGATTCTGCGAAACGCCAGCCATCTTGCAGAGTTAAGTCCAGCACCCCCACGGCAACTTGAAATGAATGATTCAAAACACGGCGTTAAATTGTTGAAACACACTGGTATTCCACACCGAAGTTCCTTCTGTATGAATCCTCAAAATCAATGGAAATCAATTCGGTAAATGTAGACAAAATGCCTCTAAAAAGACATATACTTTTAGACTTCAGTTTCTCCCGAAAGAAGCCGCCATGATTGAACTAATTCGTCCCAGTCTTCTGCCCGGGGAAATGCGCAAGCGCAAAAGCTTCTTGCGCAATGCTCGTCTCCAGGGTCTTCTCGCTTTCCAGTGTGGAAAAGGGATAAGGAGTGCATTCAGATCAGAGGGGAATATCGTCGCGAGAAAGTTACGAAAATGGCTCTGCATCGTGCTCTTTGGCGTTTTGTGACTCCAGGAAACAATATTCTTCTTCTCTGCCGTGCTCAGAGTTCGGCGAATGCAGCGATCGGTATCCTTTTTTACGAAACACTTTTCGATTTTTCATCAGCCATCACTGTCAGCCACGGTTTTTCAATTGTTGACATGAATTTGCTAACACCAATGTAAAAAGCGCCTTAATGTTTATGCCTCGTTCTTTAACGTGTTACGACAATGGCCCGGTCGGTTGTTATGAAATCGCTTTGAGTGGGTGATCCGCCCGCCAAATCGCGATCGAAATTTTGTAGTTTCGACAAATTTTAGTAACGTCATCTTTGTGGAACTACACTTCGGTTATCTTTGCTTGTTTCTGACATATCACTATCACACTCGGCAAGTGTGCTGGTTGTGAGGCGCTCTTTCCAGCGATGTCGATGAATATTCGCTGACAAGCAGTTGTCAAAAGTTACTACAAAACCGCCGATGAGTTGATTCGTAAGTTACCGGTAAGCTTATGCAATACTTGAGACGAAATTAGCACATTGCTAAACAATCTGAAGAGACGTTGAGCATTTGGTTTTCTTAACTTTTCAAATAATAGCACAAAAATCGCAAGATAAAAAAGATAAATTTGGTAAGTATGCGAGCCATTAATTTAACCACATTAATAAAGAGGGCCCAAGGTGTAAACAGTTGTGGAGGTGTGAAGGGGGCGTTGTCATGTTCAAGACCACCATCAGCCAACAGGCCTAGGAGTTGTTCAAGATAATCAAAATGTTTCAAGGAAGTACCCCATAAAAACAAGAATATCAAGACTTTTTAACAGTTCAGGTGTTCTTTGTAAGAGAGTGGAAGACTACAATATTGGTGGAAACAAAGAAATACGTTGCAGTCTAATTTACACTGAGATTAAATTTGACGCTGTCATTTTTACATCTACTTAGTAAAGTTCAACTGGCAAGATCCACTTAACTTGGAGAGTTGTCTCACAGAAGAAGAGGTGATAGTTAGGGATCAGATTAGAGATTACTGCCAGGAAAAGCTTATGCCTCGGATTCTGATGGCAAATAGACATGAAAGTAAGTATAAGCCTTATGATTGAAACAACTATAAAAGGCCCATAAATGCAACAGTCAAAAATATCATAGCCTGTGAGCAAGCTCTCCTATTTGGGCGAGCAAAGCGAGCCGCGCGAGAACGCAGGACCGAGCAGCAAAGCCGCGAGGGGCCAATGAAAGGAGAGCTTACAACGATCTCTCGTAAATTTTCATCTGTACTTCGCCCAGACAAAGGGAAATACCATTGGCTGAAAAATGATGTTCTGGAAATTAAAGTTGATTGATAACAGGCCTAGCCGCCCTGCTCTAAATAAATTTTCAAGCTTCCCTTTCTACTCCCCACCCCCCACAGTTGCGTCTCCTCTCGCATGCCGCTAACGCGTGTATTTTTCACGATATCCCCCAAATGGAGAGCTTGCTCGAAGACTAAAAATATCATTGAATGAATTATGGCAGCATGCAGTTATACCTTCACTTTACAAACCACTTACTAACAGACTCAAGGAAAACCGACAAAGATAGCATTACTGGATGGTCAATTTGACCAACAACAAAATAACCCTTGAGCCGTTCAAAAAGGACTTCTTGACTGCTTAAGTATCTTGAACTCTACAAAAAATGGCCAAGCATGCATTGTTTGCAAAAAATTTCAGAGGTGAATTAGTCTGAAAATAAAATCAGTTGACCTTGAAAGACAACAACATAGCTTACTTCCATTTTGCAGTTATGTGGCCATTAATTTCTTCAATCCAATCAATGAAAGTGTATTTGTTAACAGATTTCATGTGACTCTCTTGTTTAGCATTTGATAAAGATATTATGAAAGAAATGGGATCGCTTGGAGTTCTTGGTTGCACAATTCAAGGTCAGTGTTTTGTTTAAAAGCTTCTTAAATGATGTCAAACATCGATTCTCCATTATTCATTAACTCTTGCAAACTTAATTTTGTGTGAGGTAAAGTATTGGTGCCATGCATAGCATAAATAAATTTTCTGGATTTTCCCAGTTAAGCAGAAAACTGAAGTCAAGTCTTTTCTTGTTACTGATCTCAGTTTCTGTTTTCCTCCAGGTTATGGATGTGCAGGAGTTTCTTCTGTAGCTTATGGTCTTATCGCAAGAGAAGTTGAAAGGTTTTGACAATATTGTTTCCCTATCTTGCATGTATACATGGTCTAATAACTCTGTTCCCTATTTGCCTTCACACACTACAACAATAGTTTAAATTTACTGAATTTTTGAATAATTTCTTTATCTTTTACCTGCAGGGTGGACAGTAGCTATAGATCAGCAATGAGCGTCCAGTCGTCTCTGGTAATGCACCCTATTAATGCTTATGGAACAGTGGAACAGAAACAGAAATATCTCCCAAAGCTAGGTAAGACTTCATTTTTTTACCAATGGCTTCTAAAAAACTCCATAACCCTCCCTATGCCTCCCCCAACAGGACTTCCCGAAGTGACCCAACCCCAGGCCCTTCCAAAATTTTCTTGGCCCTGTCAAGTCACAATAGAGAGATTAAGATTCACGTTTACGGCACACGGCAAACGGCAAACGTCAGTTGAGAATTTCTCAAAATAGAAAATAAGCAGATAAAAACAGTCCAGAACGATTCTTTTGGATAAAACTGGCATAAATTTACCTATTTTTGTGTAGAAGCAATAAACAGTAAACGAAAAATAAGGGGAAAACTTGGTCACGTGGTACAAATTCACGTTTGCCGTTTGGCGTAAACGTGAAACTTAATCTCTCTAATATTAAAAAATGAGAGCCTCTTAGCTAGGTAGTGATTACATAGGGAAAAATTTGGACTTTCATTTGCCATTGTTGTAATAAATTCTTGATAAGCAATTTTGTTCACTTTGACAAACAAGAAGCTTTAAAAAAAGCCTTCAACCTAAGGGGGATTATTGGGTTTTTTTTCAAGAGATAAAGATGTTTGATTTCTGTTGCTGATTGTCAACAGCACGAGGTGAGCTGATTGGTTGTTTTGGTCTGACTGAACCAAATCACGGCAGCGATCCCGGAGGCATGGAAACAAGAGCAAAACATAATCCTGCTGCGAACAGTTACATCCTTAATGGATCAAAGTGCTGGTGAGAAACATTTTCTCGAGGACCCAGTCAAACTATCTCTGTGTGTACTTGTGCACATTTATCTAGTAATGACCACTACTTGTGGGTGAAATTGAATTTAGGAGTTGTCCGGGCCCCAGTTGTTCAAGAGTTAGATAGCGCTATACACCGAATAAATCACTCTCCAGTGGATAAGTTTCCAATTGGAAAACCAGTTGCGCTATCCAGTGAATAGTGATTTATCTGGTGGATATAGCTTTATCCACCTGGGGCCAGGTCCCTGTCCCCTGGAAATTTCCTCAGAGGCAAATCCAGGGACAAAGGTACGGCCATAATGGGAATCTGTTTGATGGAGTAATGGTCTGAAGCTGTGGCTGAAATTATTGGTTTGGCTGTGTTGGCTGAACTGGCTTTTGGGAGAGGCATGTATAGCATGTATAATGTATAGACTGCAGCCAACTTGTCTACAGGGTATGCAGGACTCTAAAATACTCTTTGGTTCATCTTTTGCAAACAGTCTCTATGACTCAGATTGGATTGGATTGATCAGTCCGAAAACTTCGAGTACATTTACACTGTAGTTTTTGGGTTATTAACCTGTGAGCAAGCTCTCTGGGGTTCACTTGCGGCGGGGCAAGCAACCTTGCAGGTTACTAGCCTATTAAAAATGACACAATCTTTGTAAAGAACAAAGAATACAGGAGATTACAGAGATAACTTTTTTTTGTGATAGGTACATTATTCATTTCAGTTTTTCTGATGATCCGTTTTGTCATAGGATTACAAACTCACCAATAGCTGATGTGTTCGTGGTTTGGGCAAAATGTGAAGATGGAAAAGTTAGGGGATTTATCTTGGAAAAGGTTCGTTCCTCCAAAAAATGCTGGCCATCTCTATGTGATGTGTCAGCTTACATACTTTAGATAAACGCTTCACATGTAAGGCGCCAAACAGCAAGCACTAGATTCAAGTTGAGAAATTCTCAAGATAGAAATTGAGCAGATAGAAAAAGCTCAAAACAAAATAATTTTGTGGATGAAACTGGCATGAAATTACTGATTCCCTTGTATTTATAATGAATAGTAAACGACAAGTATTAAGGGAAACTTGGTCACATGATACAAATTCTGATTTGCCATAAACATGACTCTAATAATTAAATCTCTCTAATATGTTAATCATTTCTCACAAGAGATAATTTGTATACATGTACGTGGTGTAGATGTTGTGGCTCAATTTTATCCTTGGTTAAAATCTTCTTTTCTTTTGTTTTTGGGATATGTTAATGTGTGCTAAAGAGTTTGAAACAAAAGAAAAGAAAAGAAAAGAAAATTTACACTTAGGATAAAAATGAATGACAACATAGACATAGACGCATTGAGTATTCATACAGCAGTGTTGAAGTTTTAAGTCTGGGGGCAATCCAGCATTGTCCTTCTAATCCTACTTCTTCTTTTCTTGGTTTTAACTCAGGGAATGAAGGGACTTTCAGCTCCTAAAATTGAAGGCAAGTTTTCTTTAAGAGCATCCGTTACAGGCGAGATTTTCATGGAGGATGTTGAGGTGCCTGAAGAAAACCTGCTACCAAATGTTGAAGGACTGGAGGTGAAGTGATATTAGTTTTTCACCATTTTCTCATATCTTTCATGTAACCTTTACTATGATGGGAAGAATCTGTAAGAACTGTTAAAATATACAAATGTATTGAGAGAGGTGTATTGCCCCCGTGAGAGGACGTCCAAGACAGTCTTGGATTCTGGATTCAATGCTATGGATTTCAGATTTCAGGTACTGCATTTTGGATTCCAAAGCCCAGGACTCCAGGTTCCACATACAAAAATATCCGGAATGCGGAATGTGGATTACCTTACGTAGTTTGAAGTGTATTTTGCTGGGGTGATCACATCGTTAAATTATACATTGTTTTTTTTGGGGGAAAAGGGGAGGGAGGGTAAAAATTATTGCCACTTCTTAATTTTTTGTGTAATCCTCCAAAAATACCCAAACTAACTTTATTATATATTGTTTTTTAAAACATTATTTGCTAACCAGGGTCCGTTTGGTTGCCTAAACAATGCTCGTTATGGTATATCCTGGGGAGTTCTTGGAGCTGCAGAGTTTTGCCTGGCTACAGCACGACAATACACTTTAGACAGGTAAGCAAGAGGAGAAGAAAGTCTAACTATTATAGTGCTTAGTACTCCCTTACATGTACTTTGCTGTCCTCGATTTTTACAGCACTCTTCTCCAAACACTACTTCGTTAGAACACAGCATTTAGTCTGAAATGTCTCAGACACATGATCAATATCCATAGTGATCCATAGTCTGTTAACAAAATAGTGGCAGTATCTTAAGTAACACTTTATATATTGCCACCATTTTGTAAGGATCCCTTTTGATGTTTAGTATTGTTTTGTATTTTTTAATGATTAATTTCTCTTTTACTTAACCATCATTTTTTAAGACATCAGTTCAAGAGACCTCTTGCAGCAAATCAGCTCATGCAGAAAAAAATGGCAGACATGACAACTGAGGTTAGTTTTATGGTCAGCACTTTTTCTAATTTGTCACTTTTTTAAGAGTTAAATCATATCTAACACTTTATTTCTTAGATTGGTATTGGGCTTCAAAGCTGCCTTCATGTTGGACGACTCAAAGATGAAGGAACGTAAGTAAACCTCTACCTTTTAAGCTTCATTTTTAATTTTTAATTTAGAGACGACTAAAATTTAATTGTTATGTTACCCTGGTTCGAGCGATTTAATTTGTTTATCCTTAAACGATTTGAAATCACTCCTCAATTTTTCAAAGCCTTTAAAGAGATAGAACCTTTGGAACAGAGGTAATACTCCATCTGCATGGAACTTCGCAGGGGGTATTTTCTTTTAGTGAAATCCAACTAGTGGTCTATTATCAATGCTGGGTTCTGATTGGTTGAGCTACTACCAGGCTATATGTTATAGCCCACTAGTAGCGAAAAGTGCGGGCTTTTTGGCGCAAAAAAGGATTTGAAGTCTAGCTTTAACTAGCTTAACTTTTTTTATTCTCAATATTTTTGACCAACTAGTTGGGTTTTACTAAAACAATTATTCCTCTCGCCCCCCTCCCCGGGATGAAACTTGCAAATTACAGTAGTACAGTAGCGGGCGTGGAAACAGTACATATTTTCTGTGGAAACTGTCAACGCTCTCAGAGTTACAAAGGTCTGGCGATTTTGTTTTTTTGAATTCGCAGTGGTAAGAGCAGTCTTAAAATGGACTCTGTTATATCACAGTACATGCAGTATACATACTCAAAGCAAATAACCGCACAGGAAGTCACCCACAGGCCATTGGGAAAATGTGCAGGAAAAAGTACGCAGAAGCTTGGAAAGTGAAAAATCGCCTTCAAAAACGCGCAGGGGAAAATAGCTCTAAGAAAACAAGGACGTGAGAGAATCAAGGCTGTTTTGGGGTTAACTTGTTTGGCTGAAATATGGCGCGCAAGTTTTGTGCGCAAGTCGTTATTTAACAGTACTGTTTATGCTTTTGTAGATGGTGCCCAGAGATGATATCTATGATCAAGCGCAATTCATGTGGAAAAGCACTTGACATAGCCAGGATGGCCAGGGACATGTTAGGCGGTGAGTTTAATTTGTTCTTATCAACGTTTCGTAACCTTACTGAGAAACGAGTGTTTATGATTACTTAATTGGACATTTCTCTCTCATTTTATGGCACATACAGGAAATGGCATCTCGGATGAGTACCACGTGATACGTCACGTGATGAACTTGGAATCCGTGAACACGTATGAAGGTAACTTCAAATTTTTTACAAAACCTTACAAACGAAGCAGCTGATTTTTTGCCGTCCGTTGCGTTCATTTCTTCATTATTCTAGTTGGTTGAGAGAATACAGCCTCGAGCAAACTCGTTTCCAGGGTACTCTCTGTTGATGAAGAGAGGACCCTGGGAACGAGGATGAGGCCCGATGTCGCACTTACAGTAACCTGCGATCAGGCGATGTTTTAGCAACGACGACGGCGCGCGACGCCTATTTCCCTTTCGTAAACTGTCTTTGCCATTTTTACCGGTTGATGGCCACCATTTGTAACCAAGCCCTAAGTCATGATAGTTGTAATATATTTCCTGGATTAAGTTTCAATATGGTAAATAATACGTTTGTGAATAGTATTTCAAAGAACAACGTTGAAGCCCAAATTGAATTTACTTCAAAAGTTACGGAAAGGGCTAGCTAGGGTCATTTGTTACTGATGTATCAGTTAAGAAAAACAGTTTGCTTGTTTATATTTTTAATTTTTCCGGAATTTTGGCGGCTCGTTTTGGTAGTGTAGTACCCTGCTAGCAGAGTCGCTTCGATCTTTCCTAGATAAGTCGGGAAAGAGGAAGCGACTCGTTCCTTCCTCTTCCCGACTTATCTAGGAAGATCCAAGGAGACTCTGTTGGCAGGGTAGTAGTGTATTGGTAACATGTTCTGAAAATGGCAGCGACCGTTAACGAAAGGGAAAACTGCGACGGTGACGATAGAAAAAACTTCACGAATAAAATGAATTCTCGCGTTGTTTCAAACTTCATCGCGATTGTTTAAACTCGCTCCCTGACTTAGATTCGATGTCCATGTGGAGGGAATCTTTTCACCAACAATGTTTTTGGATTTTCCCCCTTCGTAGCCTGGACATTAATTGTCACTGTAATGTTCAGCCTCAGGTTCAATCTCGTGAATGATCATCATTTGTTGGACTTGAAAAAGCTTCGAAATTGCTCTTTACTGTCTGCTTATAAATGTTTCCGACATCTTTTCTTCTCCAGGAACACACGACATCCATGCGCTGATTCTTGGAAGAGCTATAACTGGAATACAAGCTTTCACAAGATGATTAATTAACAAGAAAACAGAAAACAGCCACATTCAGACTTCAGTTATACCAAACCAACGACTAACACATAATCTCATTTTGCCCGCCGTNTGAAAAAGCTTCGAAATTGCTCTTTACTGTCTGCTTATAAATGTTTCCGACATCTTTTCTTCTCCAGGAACACACGACATCCATGCGCTGATTCTTGGAAGAGCTATAACTGGAATACAAGCTTTCACAAGATGATTAATTAACAAGAAAACAGAAAACAGCCACATTCAGACTTCAGTTATACCAAACCAACGACTAACACATAATCTCATTTTGCCCGCCGTGTCTCATAATATCGGTTGTATGACGAGTTAGCGAATTCCGCGGTAAAAATTTCTGGAAGAACTAAGTATGTTTTCTCGAGAGTAGCTAGAGAATTTCTGGCAAATTTTGGGAGAGGAATCTTCATCGATCTAGGCTACCAGTTAATTCCTTCCGGGTTGTAAGTAGGTACATCAGTGCCACATGGTCATCCTGTCTTCAGGACAGACGGCGAGCGTAAGCCAACGCGACGAATATGGCGAAATCCTTAGTAAAAATGCGAATGCTTGTTCTTCTAATATCATCGCGATTATTCCAACTTTCTCAGGTCGTTATCGTTTGGGTGTAGGAATTGTTCGTTGTTTTCGATTCTTCTGTTTTGCTCTGGTGATCGACACATCTTCAACAACAGCGAACTATCAAACTCACAGAGAGTCGAGTTTTAAAGAGTGTAGAAAAGTTTTAAAAGAGTTGTGCGTATGAATATTATTGGAACGTAGCTATAAGTTATAATCAGGAGTATTTTTTTTTACATTGACTTTATGTCTTGTGCTGATTAAAAGTGAGGAAAAGTTAACATGAAAGTCTTATTGTTGTTCATCTAGACTGCGAGCGGTCTCTCTTTTTCTTAAGATTTAGTGAGAGCTAGAGCGGCGAAGCCGCGAGACGCGTGAAACGAGGGCTTCTCGTGCCTCTCCCGTCGCGCGCCATCAGTCACGCACGTGGCCATTTGCGTGTCTCGCGTTTTGCTCGACGGACTACAGAAAAAAGAGAGACTGCTCGTAGTCTATTGTTCATCAATGCGTGTTAGCAGACAATAATGGTAATAGAGCTCTCTCCTCCGCGCGCAGATGCTGCCGATCGAAAAAATAGCAATCCCGCTAGAGACGATGGGATGATGCCTTTTCCCTTCCCATCGACCCCCGCGCGCTTTCCCCGTTTCTTTCTCCCCAGCCTCGCTACGACGTAAAGAAGCCTATGCGGAGGAGAGAGGTAATAGAGCCTGATCCGCCCTGGTAGGGGTCCTTGTGTTCCTGTGTCCGGCTTTTATACAGACAAAGGGCGAGTTATGAAGAAGACTGGGTACGACTTGGGTTGCGCGTGCTACGTCGAATTGCACGGTGGGATTATCTTACAGACGCTATAACTTCATTCATTTGCCGATACGAGGTTAGGCAGGAATCTGGGTAAAGCTTCCCAATATACCTTAAAAGTTAATTTCTAAATGTGCGTTTTGCTTGCTGCAGTTTATCTATAACTATACAGGTCAGACTTTTTGAAAAGAAAAATGAAAGTGAGAATGCTTGAACCGCGAAATTTGATGTCCTTTTTTCATATCTACCTGTTAACCCATCCACCCCGTAAGCGCCCCTGCCGGGACCCTCGCCACGCCTCTTCCATCACTTGTGACGTAATTAGTTTTAACGGTCAAGGACAACTTTGTCCGCTAACTTGCACTGTGCAGCGTGAAGAGATCTTTCAATCCATATCAGATTGAAGTCGACTTAGTCAAAGATTCAGTCTGAATAGCATAGTGCACACAGGGAACACAGAGATCAGAACACACGTAGCAGCCGATTAGTAATCGGCTGCTGACATGCGCTTTTATGTCACTTGATTAAAGCGCTGGAAAATTATCTCGCTGTTATCTGACCGTCACCCCAAAGAACATGACTCACTTTAAAAAAAGAGGATGAAGATAATCTAATTCTTCTTGTTTTGCGATTTATGACTTTCCGAAAGTGATTATTTTTTAAACACAAGTGATTCAAGAGACGGATTTTTTATTTTTTTCAACTCGTATTCAGCTTTTGGGAGGATCGTCAATATTTTTACAGAGTAACGAATTCAAAGATCCTCAGAGAATATCTACAAAAAGGTTAAAAAATCCTCACTTAAAATACAAATCACATTTCTATACAATTTTCTCCTACTTTGAAAGAAAGAAATGTACAAACTGATATGCAATAAAATACCTTACTTTCTTTCAGTGCTTAGAATGCAAAAATTCATACAGCTTTAGCATTATTCTTTCAAGACAATAAAAAGTTAACACACTTAGAAAAAAGTGAAATAAAAATAATTGATCCGCACCTAGACCAACGACAGTACATGGTATTCAGCTAAATTTATATAGATTTCACACTTTTTCCCGTAGTCTGAGTTCTGGCGAGAAGTAGAGAGCTTTAAAATAGCGTTTACGACAAACAGCAAACACGAGTTTGAACCACGTGACCATGAATTTTGCTTTACTTGCCGCGTTGCCGTTTACTACTCATGATAACTACATGGAAATCAGTAGATTCACGCTAGTTGTATCCATAAGAATTATTTTGAGCTGCTTTTAACAGCTCATTTCTTTTGAGAATTTCTCAACATGAATCTCACGTTTGCCGTTTGCCGTAAACGTCACTCTAAATCTCTCTAATTTGTCATTCATATGTAGACGAAATCCTATGGTGTGAACATTCAAAAGAAACCTCTTCATCGGTACTTTCACTTTCATGTGATACCATTTATCTTATATAGAAAGTGGTTATAACCTTTGGGTCTTTAGATGAAATCCTATAGTGTTAGCTTTCTAATGAAACCGTTTTGCCACAACTTTTGCATATAACTATTTACATCCTAAAATTTTACAAAAAGAAGTTTCGAATTTTATTGACATATTAACTTTGGTCACTATTGGGGTTGAGCAAAGTCGTCAAAAAATTCCTATATCACACGCGCCCAGAACACAAGGAACTTTCACATCTCGAACTACAGTTCTTAATTTCAAAAGTAATGAACACTAGTTTCATATCAAGAGGTTTGTAAAAACGATTGACGAATTTACGTCTTTATTTTCTGCAATAACTGAACCGAACAGTGGCCAGTGAAAGGTACGTATTTTGTTATGGGGACTTGAATGTTTCCTGATGTTTGACCCCATCAAGGATGGGGTTGTGTTTTACTACCATATTCTTAATTAAATGAGAAATGCGATTTTTACAAAAATATACAAATATGAAATTTATGAATTTGACTGGGGAGTGGCAGAAACCAAATCTAGGTCCCGGGGCGGGGGGGGGGGTTATTCCTGGGAATTCTTGGTGGGGGTGTGCCGACCGGTTCTTCAAATCCTGACCCTATTTCAGACCAAAAAATGTCATTTTCCACACCCGTTTTCAGACCAGACCTCTAAAATCCATACCCGTTTTCACACCTAGCTCTAAGGCAGAAATTATGTCATCATTATTTAAACTAGAGCCCAAACAAAATAATTCTTCAAATGCATTTCGCATTCGCATATTTCCATTTCGTGCTTATTCATTTGGAATATGAAACGATAAATACGTTCATACGCTCATGTAGTTCTCTCGAAAACCATATCCGATTCCAGACCAAAATGGGGCAAAGTGTATACCCGTTCTCAGACCAAAAAGGTCCAAAAACTATACCCTTTAGGACGGCACATACCTATATGGCTTATATAAGGGACCCCCGCCCCCCCGGACCTAGGTGTCGGTTTTTGTGAGGAGTCTACCTTGATGGAAAGTCGTGGAAAACTACTAAAGAACAAGACGAACCAACTCTGGGTGTCTGCATTAGAAAATTCCGCCTTAAAAATAGAGTCGAAGAAAATGACTGAAGAACAGCAGGCACCAACACTAGGTGCATTTTGGGGGGCCGGCATGTTTACATGGAGGTGGGGGATCCCAGGTAGGTTACCTCACCTACCTGGGGTCCGCCACCTCCATGTTAACAGGCCCTTAGGGGGTCGAAGAGTCGAGACTGGACAGTACCTACTCTTAACGATATTTGTCGATATCGGAAAGCATAAAACAATGTGTACAATACAGTTTCTCCCTAAATTTCATCTTCTCTGTCTTTGGTGACTGAATTTGAAAATTGCGATTTTGATGACGCAGCTCTCCGTCTCGCTAAACCAGAGTTGGAAGGAGGAGACAGTCCAAACATTCGTGGCTTGATGTTNTCTAAGGCAGAAATTATGTCATCATTATTTAAACTAGAGCCCAAACAAAATAATTCTTCAAATGCATTTCGCATTCGCATATTTCCATTTCGTGCTTATTCATTTGGAATATGAAACGATAAATACGTTCATACGCTCATGTAGTTCTCTCGAAAACCATATCCGATTCCAGACCAAAATGGGGCAAAGTGTATACCCGTTCTCAGACCAAAAAGGTCCAAAAACTATACCCTTTAGGACGGCACATACCTATATGGCTTATATAAGGGACCCCCGCCCCCCCGGACCTAGGTGTCGGTTTTTGTGAGGAGTCTACCTTGATGGAAAGTCGTGGAAAACTACTAAAGAACAAGACGAACCAACTCTGGGTGTCTGCATTAGAAAATTCCGCCTTAAAAATAGAGTCGAAGAAAATGACTGAAGAACAGCAGGCACCAACACTAGGTGCATTTTGGGGGGCCGGCATGTTTACATGGAGGTGGGGGATCCCAGGTAGGTTACCTCACCTACCTGGGGTCCGCCACCTCCATGTTAACAGGCCCTTAGGGGGTCGAAGAGTCGAGACTGGACAGTACCTACTCTTAACGATATTTGTCGATATCGGAAAGCATAAAACAATGTGTACAATACAGTTTCTCCCTAAATTTCATCTTCTCTGTCTTTGGTGACTGAATTTGAAAATTGCGATTTTGATGACGCAGCTCTCCGTCTCGCTAAACCAGAGTTGGAAGGAGGAGACAGTCCAAACATTCGTGGCTTGATGTTTTTCTGAAACTCGTCATTGTTATCATCGTTAATGGCTGTTGCTTCGGAATACAGACGATTCATGGCCACAGCCTCGGCGGCAAACTCTTGCAGTTCAAGTGTATTCATATTCCTACAAAAACCAAGAACATATTTCAACTTTCTACGTGTAAGAACACTTTGCCCTAATTTCGCCCGCAGCCTTTGATAAACTCTTAGTGTCTGGGGCGCCAAATATTCAGTCAAAGCCCCCAGTTTCTAGATTAGGCGGATTTTGCAAAGACAAAAGAGACCTTTAGATTCTAAGACGAAGACGACTGCGAGAACGAAATATATATATAAGGCCATTTATACGAGGAAAAATAAGACGCGTCTTACATAAGACGCAAACTATACCATTTATACGAGCATGTCTTATCCAAGACGAAAACAGCTCGTATAAATGATTCGCGTCTTATTTCTGTTTTTGACTCGTGAATGTTGCCCGTAACAGCGGCAATCCAACATGGCGCGCGTTTCAAAGTTACGGCGTCATGTTGCGATTTGCCGCAGAGGCAATATTTTGAAGACCTTCTTAATGAAAATGGAGGAGTCTTCTCTTATGACAAAAACCCTCATTTGCCGCAGAATAATAAAAAAACAATGCTCTATTTTTGTTTGTTTATTTGTTTGTGTGTGTGTTTTATGTGTATAGTTCAGAAAAGACAATCAGTTCAGTGACCACACAACATATCAATGACCACGCCAAGAAAAAAACACACAAAAAAAACCAGAAACACTGCCAATAACCTGCCAGTCCGCCTTCAGACAAGCGAAAATTTTCCCGCGAAAAATTAATGCACGCGTACTATGCATTCGCGTCTTATGTAAGACGTGAAGGTCATTTTAATACACGACAAGACGCGTCTTATCTAAGAAAAGGTTTTAAGAGCTGTTCTAAAATAAAACGCGTCTTAGCTAAGTCGCGTCTTATTTTAGACGATATGTGCTGTTTATACGGAAAGTTCGCGTCTTATTTTTTCTAGTATAAATAATTAATTAATTAATTTTTAATTTAATAATTATTTATTTATTAAATGGCCCTATTCTCGATACGAAGTAGTGTGCACGTAAACCAGCTTCAAGTTTGGCAGGAAAACGTGATAGCTGTCGTCATTCTACTACGGATTTTAGCGAGAAGTGGTAGTGGCGGAAGTTTGCATGTTAAAAGTTTTATCATTTTGCGATCGGGAGAGGGCTTAACCTCCTTCAATATAAATAACCGTGTTAACTTTTCTGGGAAACAAAAGCAAAATGAAGCTTTGTCTTTTTTTGTTGTTGTTGTTTGGGTTTTTATTGAATATGGGGGAGATAGTGAAATCTCTTCCTCGAAGTTGTCTTTTGTTACCCCTGATCCTAATTAAGCGGAGAACGTGGTTCAAACTTTTGAGTTAACCCCGCGCATCTTAGCCGGCGAAACGCAGACCTATTTCCGGTCGTCGCTTCTCTCCCTCCGAAAAATAATTGTTTTTCGGAGGGAGTGGAGCGACGACCGGAAATTCGTCTGCGCTTCCCAGGATACGCGCGTCTAACAGGAAGCGGAAACAACTTCTACGCAAGCTACTCTTGAGTCTAAGGATGAAACCAAGCTCTCACACAATTTTGCGGTTAGTTCGTCACCACTACGTTTATCCTTTTAAACGGGATAACAAGCAGAGAGCTGAAAGGACGTAAAAGGAAGGACCTGCATACCTGGTTAGTAGGGTAGGGGTGGGAAGAGGTGTGTTGCTCGCCTGTGAAAATACAACAGTGAAAAACAAGTGATGATTATAATTATGAATTTCATATATTTGAACTGAGGGATGAGGAAATAAATGCAGAAAGGATCATCACTGTTAAATACGCAACTTATGTAGGAGTGAGGAGCAGGATTGCGAGGAGCTCTGAAATATCAGTGCAGCGCTCTGAGCAATTGAGCTAGCAAAGCTAGGGAGTTGGCATGAATTAAATAAAACTTTTACAAGTGTAATTTACAATTGTAGCTATTGCTTCCACACTCTAAAACAATGGCTACAGTGTCAAAAAGGAAGGAAGGAGAGATCGGATAGTCACCTCTTGAATCCAAGGGTGTTGTAAAATCATTTCAGTTGTGTAACGTTTTGTTGCATCTCGAACTAGTAAGTGAGAAATAAGACTCTTGGCTTCCAGTGAAATGACATCCCATTCCTGAAAGTGGAAATGACAAAGCGATAACCGCAGCAACTTAATAAACAAATGAGTATGCGCAGGTAATTCTAATTTCTAACAGTACCAGCTTAGCACAGTTAATTTAACTGCCACTCTGTTAGCCTAAGAAAACAGCCGACATTCCGAGGCGCCATCACTGGTCAGAGAAACGAGCGCAGAAATTCCATTCTGCTGATGCGTCAGTACCCAGATCTGGGCAGTGCTTCTGATTGGTCGTGCCACATGGGAAATTTGCTTCAGCAAATCAGAAGCACTTCCTAGATCCGGGTAGTGACGCATCATAAGTATGGACTTTCGGCGCTCGTTTCTCATGCGTCGTTTCTCGACGAAAGAAGCGGTGATGTCTCAAAATGTCGGCTGTTTTCTCACGCTACCACCCTGTCAGTTCCTCTTGGATGAGCCCCGGTCTTCCGGCCGCAACAAGCAGGGCTTTGAAACACTCATAAACATGCTGGCTGTGATGTAAGACCTCGTTTCACGATTCAGATGATAGCATCATTAGGCGGTGGCGCTTAGCCTGGGACAAGGCTCCCTGATGGCGAAAAAAAGCTGATAACGGCGCGAGCTAGGGGAACGGAACAATGGAACTTGGGGTTAAGGGGAAACAGGGGCGGCAGAGCTTCCGCCACCTATTCCCCCTTCCCGCTGGGTTCGCTTCGCTAGCCAGTTTTTTTTGGGCCCAATTATTCGCCTTTCTTCAACAAGGCCCACTTGTTCGAAGGCCAATTAGCGCTACCCCAGGGTTAAATCTTAATCCAGTTTATTTTTCCTTTGTTCAAAAGCATTTTCCCTATTCTTTTTAGAGCATCCAATCATCAAATTGTAGACAAAAAAATAATTTGACTTAAACGCAAAATATGAAAGTATAGACTTAAGTTTAAAGCGTGATTGGGACCCAATAGAATTGGGTCCAGGACACTTCACTTAAAAATTTCGGAACAAACTACCCTTGCACTGAAGTGAGCGGAAAGGATCTTTGTATTCATAATGATCATCCACCTACTGTTTCGGTATAATTCAAAGAAGATCAGGGGGAGAAATATGAAAACCTAGCAATTCTTTTTTTTTAAATTAAGGGACTGATAACTTACAATCATTGTTAATTATTTTTTCCTCGATTTATCTAATTTACCTTTGATGGGAAATCATACACCCCCTCTTGTATTCTTTTCATTAACATCTCCTAAATTTGTATATAAAATAAGACATATGAAATAGAAGCCAGGGGCGTAGCCAGCCCGTAGACCCACAAATTTTTGATTTACTGCTTGTAATAAATTATGTATTGTTAGGGTTAAAAGGCTAAAAAGCTTAAGAGCTCAAAGTGTTGGTGAGGTCAGTGCGTACTAGTCATGCGTGCAATTTTCAGGATATGTGCAAATGAAAGTCAGCCAGGCCTACAACTAGTTGAAAAGCTGGCTACGCCCCTGGAGGCCATGATGAGATGTGCAAACGATTTAAGCAAATAACCGTTTGTAAGTAAAAGAATGAAATGAATTATCTTCTTCCTATAAGATACAATAACAACTGTCTTACATGTGACTGAACTCTTGAGTGGAGAGTGAGGCCTGAACTCTTGAGTGGAGACTTCTGGCCTGCCTCCTCGTCTTCCCAATGTTGTTTATCGCAGTTAACTCACCAAATCTTGTACACGAACATTGGGAGGGTAAGATGACAGTAAAGCGTCCTAACAATTTTGACTGAGAATGTAGCTAGTTTCATAGATCTGATATAAGGCAACAACATGCGACCATATCTTTAAAGTGGACCATTTTTTTAAAATAGCTCTAACAGTATATTATTCTGACAAAGTAATATTCCTCCACTCACCTGACATGATTTACAGTTTTCTCCCTTTTCCCATCCACAATCTGTGCCACACTTGCCATAAAATGGTGGGTGACCAGACAACATGATATACCTAGACAAAAGAAAACCCAAAGAACTGACAGGTTAGACTGATCATTTTGAAAATGAAACGTATAAAGTCTTCACTCAAATTTTTTACTAAAACCCATCAGTGCCAAGTATACTATTAACGGTGGAATTCTCCTGACACCTGAGTCCGTCTGACCAACATGTTCTGACAAATGGCATGCTAAGTAAAAGAAACCACAGTACTGATCTGTGCCACTTGCAACTGCTCAGACACACGGTTCAAAAACACCCTGCTGGGTATAAGCCACTGGATAAGACAAACAAAGGGAATCACCATTCTGTAGTTCTGTATGTTCCACGTAAAGGAAATAATCACACAGCCTTTGTACTCAGATAATAATAATATGAACATTTGCAAAGAGGCTTTAAAGGAAATGATTGTAACCAATAATAATATTAATCAAAATTATATTACTAACAGGATAACTCCCAGACTCCACAAATCACATCTTTTGTCATACGTTGTAGCCTGCGTCTTAAAAGCATCCACAACTTCAGGCGCCATGTATTCAGCAGAGCCAACCTGCAGGAAACAACAAAGTTATGTTGTTAGCTACAGTTCAAATAAAAAAACAAAGCAGTAGGAGGCTGGTATGACATAGGCTGAAATAATTAAGTTCTTACTTTGCAAGACATTAACTACAGACAGCTGTTACATCCTTGTTAAAATTAGTATCTCATAAGGGGGATATTACATAGGATGATTTGCAAAGATGATTTTCAGCACAACACAGTGCTGAAACATTGTTACAAATTAAATTGTTTCAAACTTTTTCAATTTCAATATTGTTGCCAAAGAACTGTCTTGCATATCATCTTACGTAACATCACCTAAACAACTAAGCAGGATGAAATGTCTGCTGTGAAATTTCCTGCACACTCTATCAACCCCTTAACCCCAATATCCACATACAAATTCTCCACACTGATCTCTATACATTTCCATAAAGAATGAGTTGAGAGAATTTGATAAAAGATCAAAGCATTTTCTCTTTGGTGATCATTTTATTTATTCTCATAACCTAATCTCTTGACAATGTATGGATATCATTAAGAGAAAATAGATGTTGGTCAGTATTGGGACTTAACGGGTTAATGGGTGTTGGACGCACAGGCGTCGACTCATGCTATATTCTTACATATCCCATAATGAAGGAAGGGAGTCTAAGTGTCGTGTTATAACAATAGTTTTAAAAAGTGTCACAAAGAAAATAGGATGGTCAAAACCATGTTTATAGATTGAAACCATGCTTTAATTTCTGCAAAATGGATAATTACCGGAGTCTGTAACTCTGGTGTTGTTACTGCAGCACTCAGACCATCAAGTCCACTCGCCAAGTCAAAATCACAGATCTTGACTGGTGTTATCTGAAACACAACCACAGCTACAGTAAAAAGAGGGGTTATACTGATTCAGGGGTGTCCAAAATAAATCCATAGGTTATTGAAACAACAAGAACATAATAATTTTTCAAACAGACAGGAAACTAACTTATTAAAGGGCAGTGTGACACCAAGGTTTATTGGTACTTGACAAACCAAAGGAAGCATTAAGTATTAGCGGCTGTACAAAGGCTATGTTTCAGTCAACAGACATACAGTGAACTCTCTCTTAATGGACACCTCTATAAGACAGACACCTCTCTAAAATGGACACCTGGTGTTGGTCCCTGCCGTTTTTCAGTCATTTTAGCATGTACGAAGTTGTTCACACCTCTTGTATTTCTCATTGTAAGTTTGTAAACAGCTTGAGATAGAGGTTGCTCTCAGGGGCATAAACAAGTCAACTAATCAAAATACCAGAAGCATGAACAACTTTGTACATGCATGCTTAATTAAGGACGTGCATAGCTCACACTTTGCAGAATGCAGTTTGACTTTCACTTGCCACCCAAAAGTTTGAATTTTTTCTTAATGCTAGTGTCATTTACAGAAAAACATGAGAGAATGTTGTATGACTACCCCTCTCTACCTGGTTTTCACAAGCACACAGTATGTTCTCTGGTTTCAAATCTCTATGAGCTATGCCTAAAAGGGAACAATAAAAAAACACCATTAAATACAAGTCATCAAAAGAGTAACAGTTACTTTGGATTCAGAAGCAATTAGTCACAAACTATTGATTCCTTGATTTAAATGTATATTGCTAGTTTACTCAAGGTGTACAACTCAACCTTTTTTCATCACTGCCAACAACAAAAAATTCCAAGTGCATATTATTAATAATAATGGGACTGAGTGGAGTCCAATTCGGTCTGTAATCATAAGGAGTCACACTATTTTGTGATTCAAATTATCGCGGACTCTGGAGTTTTTTTTACATCATCACCCGTAAATAACATCAGATGTCATGCCTCCACAGTAGCTAAGGCCAAGTTTGACCAGCGTGTAAATTTCCCTTACAAAGCAGGGATGACGCTAAAAAAGAGCTTACCATCGGCTAAATTGCTCTGGCAAACAAAGACGTAGTAATTTTGAAGGTGCAACTGAGTAAAAAAAGCCAGTTTGACAAATGAGAAAGCTCGCTTAGCTTTTCCTTAGCTACATTATACATCTCTGCAAAGGTGTCATGAATTGAATGTGCTTTGTGACTGTGAATATGCTTTGAATGTGCTTTGTGACTTGGGGCCCCCATGGATACTGGCCACTTTGCTCAATGAGCTACCCTGGCTAAATAACGTTCCTTAGTAAAACTTGCTAATGCAGAACATCAAGTGAACTCACAGTGTAAGTACCTTTTTTATGAAGAAAATCCAAGGCAGAGACTATATCTTTTACAACTAAACTTGCTTCTTTCTCTGTGAATACTCTTTTCTTCTCAATATATTTAAGAAGAGGTCCTGAAAATACGAAGATGAAAAAGAGGCATCGAGATGCTATTATTTACAGTACCTCTCCACAAGGGCCAACTTGGGGACAGAGGAGAGAAGTTTAATTAAGAGTTAAAGAGACCCTCTTAAGGGGAGTATGTATGTCGCTAGTCTAAATTTAAAAACTGCTTGTTTTGCCTTTTGAGGAGAAGGCCATGTCACTGTCGGCATTTCACTATTTGTTTTTGCAATTGTCTCTGTCTCTATCACTGTCGCAGTTTCAACCCATCTTTGTGTCGTTTGTTCCCATTTCATCTGTCAAATGTCGCTGTTTCAAGGGCATTTCACTTGTCGAATTTTACCCTGACAGGCCCTCGTTAATGTATGGACTGTCTGCCAAAAAAGTGGCCATTGCAGAGAGGTGGGCATTAGTGGAGGTTGGATAATGTGCTAACCTTTGTGGCAAACAAAATTATGTATCCCAGAGAAAAAAGTATTCTGTCCCACAGGAACTAAATGCAGTATTACAGAAAGTGACAACTCCCTTTCAACATTACCTCCTCTCATCTTTTCAAAAACCAAATAAAACCTGAAAGAAAAATATTCGCAAATTTAATAAATTGATGGAGCACTGTTTGGGGAGCAATAAGACAATAATCGTGCAAAGAAAGTAATGTCTGATAGCCCGGGGCTAGTGGATTTTGCTATCGGGCTAATGATTTTTGTTGTTAATTTGCCCGATAGGCAAGTGCCGTTTTTAGGGGAAAATCAAATTGCAGAAGGATTGTAATCAATCCTGCAAATCAAAAAGGGTGTTTTAGGGCTAGATGAAATGACTCAAGGGCTAGTACATGCTAGCTACAGCTTGCCCGAATGGCAGGCCATAAAACTAACTTTCTTTACACCCTGATCATTAAATGACTTCTTATTTTCATCGGAAAGAAATATTACTCACTTGTGGCTGTCTTCAAAATATTCAATGCAGTCTATAATGTTTCTGAAAAAAAAAAAACATTTTCTTTATTGTGATTAACTAAGACATAGTTGAAAAACCTAGAGAATATTAGAAAAAAATGATGTTATTAAATAATCTCACTTGTGTCCTCGGCATTGATAGAGGAGCTCTATTTCATTAAGGACTCGTTTTCTGTCCACCTTTGCACTCTTGTCAATGATCTGTTGATGCAAGAGCAGAAACGCTGATTTTAGAGAAATCCCAGCCAAGCTTAGAAGGCATTGCCAAAATAAAAATGCATCTTATATCGATTAAAATACAAGTTTGATGTAATGTATCATCTGAGTTCTTCACTAAGAGCCACAGATATAAAATAATAAAATAACTCAATAATATTATTAACAAATCATTACAATAATCCTGGGAGAGGTACAACACAAACTTAGATTAGATCAGAGTAGTTTCCTGGAAAATGGTACCCTATTCTAGGCCTAAACTCTCTGATTTCTATACCCTATCCTAGACCAAACTGCTTGAAAACCATAACCTCCATGGTGGCACATACCAATATAACCCATAAAATGGCAGTACCTCTCTCTGGCAATAATCATAAGAAATAATTGCCAACCTTAACAGCATATTCCTGATTTGTGACAAGCTTCACGCAACTCTTCACTATTGTGTGAGCACCTTGCCCTAAAACATCATCCAGTACCTTGTATATGTCTGAAAAGATAATGATGGAGACATGTTCTTTGTCGCTTGGCAGTGGCTTAAATATCACTGATTTGTCCCCAGTCATCTACTTTTGTCTTTTCATTTACCATAAACAAGGGAAGCGCATGGAAGATGGCATGAGTGAGGTGGGAAGGAAGGAAAAGAGGAGATAATATCTCCTTGCTTTCCATAAATTATTAGTGTACATGTGTTTAGGTCAAACTCCTTTGTTGCAACTTATAGCCAATGACTCTCAAATCAACTAAATTTTGATTGCATACCATAAAAACTTTCACAGACACTATCACTGGCTCGTTTTTTCTTCCTTTTCTTTTTCTTTGCTTGTACTGGAGGCTGGAAAATATCTATCAGGAAAGAACATTTCACAAAATGTTAATAGTACTGTTATTAATCTTTTTCTCTCAACATCTTCAATCCAAGAATAGTGAATTAACATTTTTTGCATTGCATTTTTCTTAATGCATTTGCATTGTCCCAGTTTGCACTTTGCATTCCCAGCTCCCGCCCCTTAATTTTAGCCCTATTTGGATTGCAAAATATCAAGCATTGTTGCATAATTTTTCACTATTTCTCCCACTTCCCACCCTTTTACAGGATGCATGCCATGAACTTTTGTGCATCTTTGGGGATTTTATGCGTGAGGGACGCAAGACACTGGTAACAAAATCACTGCAGCTGTAGACTCACTTAACGCCAAATCTGTAAAGCTACTTTCAGCCCTTTAAGCTCCAATATCCACATACAAATTCTCCAGACTGATCTCCATACATTTCTCATTGAATAAGTTGAGAGAATTTGTTAAAAGATCAAAGCATTCATAACCTTTTCTCTTGAGTAAGTATTAAAATAAAAATTGTTAGGAGAAAATTGATGTTGGTCACTCTTGGGCATTAGGCCTTATTACTCTCAGTGGCCGAATTTATAGTACGGATGAATTATCCGTCTCAGGTGGATAATTCGTCTCTAGTACAAATTCACTGCTAGGATGAATTATGGAGCAAAATTCGTCTGAGGCTGATTCGTCTGTTAGCACAACTTCAAGATGTGCTAACAGACAGATAATTCGTCTCAGACGGATTATCCGTCTCTAAATTTATATCTAGACAGAACGTAGAGGGTTTTTTGACGAAGTTTCCACATGAGAGGGAGTGGTTTCTATATTTTTACAATGTTTCCTGGGATAAATAAATAAATATCTAGACAAATTATTCGTCAAAATTCGTCTTCAGATTTATACTTAGACAAATTATCCGTCTGACGGATAATCTGTCTAGACAGACAACTCGTCTCTAGTATAAATTTGGCCAGTAACATACCATCTGCCGGAGGTTCCATATCATGTTCTACGACGTTTTCGTTCCTGGTTTTCTCACTTTCACATCCAGATTTTAAAGGATCCAGCCAATCTCTAGCTGAGTTATCAGAATGGCCTGCTTTCTTGTTCATGATGGGAATCTGATATTAAGAAGAAACAGATTTTTGATTAATTACCAGAAAGTGTTCTAACTAACAAACCAAAAAAATTACTGTAAAATAATGATCTAATAAATGCCCACTCTCCAATAAATACCTCTTATCTAATAAACGCCCTCTATTAATGCCACTCAATAATAAACGTGCCATGTCTAATAGATGCCCCTGGAGAATTAATCCAAAATACTGGGAAATAGCAAAAAAGAGCAAATTCATTCAATTTATACAGTTTCCTTCTTGATTAACAAGGGTTTGAGTATTTTATCTTGTTATCAATGTCAAATTCAAAGTTAGGATAGACTAACAATGGCAACACAATCACATGGTGCAAAGAATCTCACATCAATTTCAAGGTGATTTGAAAGGAGGAGTAGTCTTGTTGAGCTTGTTACAGTTATGAGAATAAACCCCTCTCTCTTTTTAACATGTACCATCTATAGAGAGGAGAAGTGTGACGTCACGTTACTATGGTAGCAAAATTTCTCGATCGCAACAATAAGGAGCTTTAGCAACGATGATGGAGACAGCAACAGAAATGGCAAAAAAGAATAGGTTTACTATTAGCAAAACAACAAATTTGCAGAAGCATCACGCTTTTCTGTACATTTCTTAGTCACTGTTGCACGATTGCGACATGAATCTTCCCAATTTCATGTGCCCACTTTATGGAGTAGGTGAACAAAACACAAAAATGTTTTTTCTTTTCTAAACATTGATACAGTCCTTTCAGATTCAACTCCAGAAAACTTTGCCAACATTTGACAAATTAAATGAAACTGAAAAGGATCGACGAAGTTCAAAACAGTACAAATTAACTTTTTAAGAGACATTTTCGGTTTGTCGTCAAGAAATTCTGCTACCATGGTAACGTGACATTCCGACTTCTCCTCTCTATAAAACGCACCCTCTTGGACTTCTACAATTAAACCTTTAAGCCCCAATATCCACATACAAATTCTCCAAACTGATCTCTATACATTTCGTTAAAGAATGAGTTGAGAGAATTTGATAAAGATCAAAGCGTTTTCCCTTATGCGATCATTTTGTTAATTCTCATAACCTTACCTCTTAACATTGTATGGATATTATTAGGAGAAAATTGATGTTGGTCACTATTGGGACTTAAAGGGTTAAATGAATGCCTCAGGCGTCTATAAGATCATTTAGTGTAGGTGAAGACAAAAACGATTTCTTTATAAAGATAATCACTATA